GGAGAGTGTCCTGCCCTGGCTGACCATATTGACTTGTTCCCTGTCAATATCAGAAATGTTGGTGTTATGGCCACCCAGCCAAATGCTTGCTCCACAGCCCTTTGCCCTGTGTGTGCCTAACCTGGTCATGACCATTCAAATTGCTCTGCTCAGTCAAGCATGTGTACCAATTGTGGTGGCTCCCATAGTGTATTTTGTAGGAGATACCCTACTTACAAGCTTGAATCGGAAGTAGCAATTCTCAGATTCAAACTAGGCCTCACTCTACATGAGGCTAGACAACAAGCACCCAGACGAGGTTTATCTCTTTCTGTCTTAAAAAAACTGCACTTGGCTCTGCTCCCGTCCCATCTTCTCAAGAAGTCTCAGCATCATCCCCAGTATCTCTTCCCTCTACCCCGAACCAATCTATTATCTCTACCCCAGTCAAATTCCTTTTCCAATATAAATTCAGATACTCCAATCTCTACAACTTCCCCTGTGCCTACACCTCCCCCCCTCCTCCTTACTCTACCTGTTGCACCAGACAATCTAAATGTTCCACTCCATCATCTCCTACACCCACCTCTCCCTCTGCTCCTCAGATATACATTCCCTCTTCTTCTCCACATCAGAAAACCATTGTTTCTCAGACCCCCACCCCCCACCCCCACTGTACTCCCCTCCAGAAATTCTTGAAGATATCCAAAAGTTTATAAACATAACTCAAAAAAATGATCCATTCCCTCATCCACCCTATGATCCTTTTAGTCTCTCTACATTCAAAGTATCTTCTAATATCCATCCTGCTGCTCCTCAAATTCCCCCTACCTCTCTTCCTCCCACTCACCCAAAACACACTCCATCCTCTCGTCCTCCATGTGCATCAATCACCATTCCCTCTTCCTTCCCTATTATCCTTACCACTCCCATGTAGATGTCCTTATGTCACAACAGTGCCCTTCTGTGGATCTTTCCCATCTTGACATTCTTCCTGATACTTCACCACCTTCCCCAATTCCCTTATTTCATTCTCAGGATTCTGCAATTATTGTTTCTTACTGTATTACCCTTTGATAGTTCCATAATAGCTCTTTTACAGTTCCCTCAGTATTATTCTCCCTTCCAACTTCTACAACTATCGTTTCTTACCATAGTACCCTTTGATTGATTCATAATAGCTCTTTTTACTTTTACTTTTCCCTCATAGTGTTACTCTCCCTACTCTCCATTTGATCTGATCGCCTTGTACCTTTACCCACATCCCATTTTACAAATCCCATTGTATTCTCTTTGCTTCCACTTTATACCTTTTTCACTAACATTCTATCCTACAGCATTCTACAACCTTTGACTTCTAGTCCACATCATGTCCTGATTGTTAAGTCATTTCCACACTTTTCGCCACAACACTTTACCATAGTGCTATATGAACCTTGATGTCTAGCACATTTACCCCAGTACCATTTTTGTGCTTTTTTTCTCCTAGTAGAGGTAGGATGCTCATTTTTAGACTGTATATGGTATGCAAGTTGTTGATTATACAGGTGGGAGTTTCATTAAATTATTTAGAAATTTAGAGTAAAAAAAAAATGATACCCATTAAAATACACAAAGTAAATAACAAATCTTCACTGAGTTACTCCTCTGTAGCTATTTCATTGTATGCCTGTAAAATTGTTTTAGTAAGTGCACTGGGTATGATGCTGAACCTTAAGCTCAGTTTTGTTGCGTATGGCCAGTGGTTATGTACAGGTGCTATTTTGAAGTAGTAAAATTTTTATTTACTGCATACAACTATGAAACTTCCCTAAAAAATCTAATTTTCAATTTAGAGTAAGAGTAAGAGCTCCGGTGTTTAGAACAAAGTATCAGTATTGTACACACAAAAAATCATGCAAACCGAGGTAGAGTTGCAGGAGTAATACCAATCACAGTACCATTGTTTTAGCAAAAACACATTTTCAGTAAATGCTCAGTAAACATTTCCACACTAACATATACCTAACGTGTAAACTAATGAGATATACACAGTGGTTCTGACAAATACAGATAGTCCCCTACTTAAGGACATTCTGCTTATGAACATTCCATACATACAAACATAAATTTTTATGCACTAAAGTTCAACAAAATTCTGAAAGATGCTAGCAAACTACAAATTTCCCGGGCACAAATCCTCCATTCACTGACCTCCCAACCTATCAGACATCCGTACAGAATCCCACACTTTCTGCTTCAACAACCTGTTCTCTTTCCTCAAACGCATACATATCCTTCATCTAATCTACCTCCCTACCACACCCGACCCTAACCCTTTCACTCACCAATTCCTTGCCCAGCTTAGACAACTAATCACTAACTCAACCATCCTTCCCTAACATTAACTATAGTGCTACATGACCTTAGATGTCTAGCACATTTATCTTGCTTTTAACCATTAACCATTAACCAGGGCACGAATATAGTTCAAGAGTCTGGTACTGTATAAGGTATGTCGTACTTATTGGGATTTATTTACAGGTATTCTTAATGTAAAATAAACTTTAAAACAATGGGATAAAGGTAATGGAGACTCGACTTTTGGCATACAAACAAATCAACTTACAAACAGCCTCTCGGTCCCCATTATGTTCTTAAGTTGGGGACTTACTGTACATCATACCACATTCAAAACAAAACATTCAAAGTATTGTGAGCAAGAGTCTTAGACCTTTGCTGACTCTAAGGAACCTTGCCTCTGAGGCATTCTCTGCAGAGCATATAACTTCCTCCTCCTCCCTCCTCCTTGATTGACGGAGTCTTTGGGTCTTCAGCATCTTCTCGACCACCTTCCCCCCAAAAAAAACATCCACGAAAGTGTAGACAAGGTAGCAGAGGTGCACCCTTGTCAATGTTTGAATGTAACACTAAATCAGCTGTGACTGAGGACAGAACCGTTGTCATCTATTAGCTTTTGACAACACTATTGGAGTAAAAGTAGATTGTATTGCCACAAGGAAGGGGCTTTAAAAAAAAATGCCCCCCCCCCCAAAAAAAAAGGGCAAAAACTGAAAGGGCAACATGACTTGCCCTCATACGTGTGCGTCATTATGTTAACAAACCCAGTATTTAAACTTAGTAAATATTGCCTGATGCTCAAGAAATTTAATGGGAGTGTTGCTAAAGTGTTCACCAACTGTTTTACCATTTTTCATCATATACCAAAATTTTTTTTTTTGGGCTGAACAATCACACCCAGGTCCTTAACCATGAACCTAGCCTCATATAATTTTGCAGAGTCGTATCTTCTTTCCTTCTTCTATCTACTTATCCATAACATTAACTCATGTTTACCCTTTTTGCCACAATACTTTACCATAATGCTGAGTTGATGTCTGGTACATTTGTTTGTTTGGCCATTGACCATTCTGGAATCCACAAACACTGTCTTACTGTACCCAAAAACTTTCTTACCAAGGGGCTTCTCCCTTAAGCTCCATCCTGTTGCTATATTTTATATACACCGCCAATGACATTAGATTTTGGTGAGGCAGAATTTATTTTCAATAAATAGATAATTCATTTGATGTCTCAAGGCATGACTGGGCTTAAACCCCTATACATATAATTTGAAATAAGTGCCAAAAAAAACTATTTGGATTAGATAAAAATGCAATAAGAATAGACTTTACTATATACTAATGAAATATCAAATATACATCTTTCTTTAAATATTGAGGATTATTAATATCAATGCAAAATTATTTTTAATGCCTTGGCAAGAGGTCATTAAGTGCTGCAGTTTTTAGGCCAGTCCAAACGAGCAGTCCTGATCAGCAGGCATGCCCATTAATAAGCACATTTGACATGCAAACTGTCTAATTGCCCTAGTGCCTAATGAGCGAAATCACCACGCGGTGCCTGGTGGATTGAGCTTTAACCCTGCCAGATGCAAGTTAACATTGTATCCATAGCAGGGTTTTTTCCCCACTTCCTATGCTATTATAACTTTGTACACATCAGTAGCTTGCAATGACTACCCCGGAAACTTCCACTGAGCCTCCTACTATTTACTGGTCAAAAGCACGTACCACACTTCACATCACTTCAACTTCACATAATAGAGTGCATGCCCCCAAGTACTAATCTGAATATGATGAAACAAATGAAAACTTAATATTTGAACAGGGACCTAAATAATTAATGCAGTAGCATCCTGCAACACATGCACAAAAGGGATTGCATTGAAATTTTGTCATAGTTGTACTTACTTGTATATCAGATTACCTTGAATTTTGTTACCGTAATAAAAGAAGAAAAAAAAAAAGGATGCTTCATAAACAGCAGCTCATTACTGTGCAGTGTGTTTTTCTCCTCTGCCTTTGTTTTTTAACAATGTAATATTTTACTGTGGTAAAAGGATGTCAAGGTTAGATACTTCATACAAACAAGTCAAGAGGATTTGCTGTATCGAGGCAGGCCACCAGAGTGCTGGCCCATGGTTGAGCAAAATATCCAAATAAGACAGTTTGACCATTTGCTGCAGGGTATGGATAGATGACCCTGCCAGACAACAGCACCCCTGTCTGTATGATGACACAGGGTTTGCCTGATAAATGGGCAAGCTCAGATGGGCAGTGTTCAAACCTAAACTTCAGGGCTTACATGTAATCTGAACTTCAGATAATTCTGCTTACAGTATCAGGTTTCTCATGCTCCCTGTCTTAGTCTCCGTTTTACAGGCCAACCTCATATTTTATCATGCTATTGATACTACATAATACTTAATAACATGGAAATTTGCATACACATAGTATGATCCTACTTTAGAATTAACCTGTGCAAAGATGAGAAAATGTGCTTTTAGGCCTTTGCCAAACAAAAACCAGTCTTTTTCTGAGCATTTATTCTTGGAATTTGTTTATTCATTTTTCATTTTCTGGAGACCTTTTTGGTGTTTGAAATTCAATGAAATTTCAAATCTCTTAATTCTGTGAAAGCATGAGTGAAGGTTAGATATACAAAGAAAATAACTTGAATCATGTACTTTCTCTCAGTTTATTTACTTTGTAAACTGACATAGCAAATACCTCCAATATTTGCTGTGAAAACTACATGATGAACTACTGGGTATTACTCATTATATATAAATACCTACCAGATAGTAGAAAAAGCTCTCAAAGCATGGAGTCAGTATATCTGCCAGTTATCTATTTTTTTCTTCTTTAACAACAGCATTGGTTATTTTAGTAGAGTTTATCATATAACCTCTACTAATGCAAAACAGCACAGCATTTCAACATCTACAAGAGCACAAAGGCACAGAACATTATCACGTCACAAGATGTTATATCATTGTCTATGGCACATGTTATCACACAATGGAATATCCATCTTAGTATCAGCACAGTCATCAGTAAATATATACATAATGGAATGTATCAACACAACACATATTTTGCCTAAGAGACTAGTACAGAATTGCTCAACAAATTTTTGAAGGATAATTGGAGATAATTTAACAAGGCAAAGTTAGCATAGGGCTTGGAAAAGTGGATGTGAGGGGGGGGGGGTTAACTTGTATTTTATTTTATTGAAAGATGGAAAAGAATAACCTATTGAGATCCTAGCTCCAAAACTGTCCAAAGTGTATGTAATTATTCATTTACTTATTTTATAGTTTACTTTTTGCTAGTATTCCCATGATTTTTACTCTAAAGCATAGGACACCTCTACTCTGGGTATGGCAGTCTAGTTACATAATATTACCTGGTTGCATACTGATTCTCTACATTACTCTAATTACCTATGGAACCTGACTAATGCTTAGCAAAATAGGAATTGTTTTTGGTAGATAATTTTTAACATCAATATCACCAAATTATTTATAGATCATTTGGAAACTGGAGAGTTCATGGAAAACAGTGAAAGTAAACACCCAAAATATATATATATATAAACAAAACTAAAAGCACCTAACTAGCAGTGGAAAAAAAAGAAGTGAAATTTCTAATTTATCAATCAACTGTTCACATTTCAAAAATAAATGGTGACCTTAATGTACCATTTCTTAATACACATATATTGTAAGTACGAGAAGGAATCTTTGAGGGAGTCCACAGAATCCAACAATTGTGGAACAAGAGTATTAAAATCCTGGGAACTTTAAGCACAGGAAAACTTGACTCAATCTTAATGAAATACCATTTTATGGCTATGAATGATAACTCATACATTTGTAGCATTAGTTTAACCTAGTTTTCCTAAACTTACATATGACTCAAAATTAATTCAGCTTCATTGCTAATATATTTTATCTGTTGCATTTCCAATCCAGAGGAAAAAAATCCACTAATAACTACTGACATGAACCCATGGGGAAAAAAAAAGGGTTTGCATTTCTTTTCAATTCTCTTAACATAATTCATCTTGGATTTACCTGACTTGACACTCACAAACCAGTTAACAGAGCTAAGATGCAATTAAACACATTAAAGGTATTAAAGATTTTCAACAAATATGTCAATGTTTATAGAATGTTTGAAACACCTAGCTACACTTAACCACAAATAGGAATGATAAAATTACTTTACTAATTATTACAATGTTATGTGCTCATATGGAAATGAGCAAAAGCATGTGGTCTTCACAGAAAGTCAACCAATATCACAAATTAATAAGCCTGTCTCGTCTTTCTTGTTCTCGATCATGGAATTAGAATGACTGCCACTTACTACATCTTTTTAAAAATTACTGACTAAATAAGGTTGAATCAAATGTGGTAGTCTCTAGTACAAATGATTAATGAAACTTTGAAAAAATTCCTTTTGGAGAGAGAGAGAGAGAAAAAAAATGGCAACAGAAAGAAACAACCAAACACACTGTCTTAAGTGAATGGAAATAGGCATAATACAAAAACTTCCTTTTCTTGAAATATTACAATATCATGCAAGATTACTGTAAGCCTGTTTTAAGAAGGAAATGAACCCTAAGCAATTTTAAGCAGAGCTAAATAAAAATTCCAAATTGGCCATTAGCCATTACTCTATTAACCATCTATGCTTACCTACATTATGTTGGAGTGTTTGATTAAAAAGAAAAATAAACTAATTACTGTTCTTTTGATTACATTCTTAATTCTAGGACTAATGGCTATTAACTTTTCCTATAATCTGACAACTGATGTCCCTGTTTCAATTCACAGTGAACTCAAGAAATATTTGGAGAGTCCTGTGTACTTGGAAACATATGCAAAGTTAAATTCCTTTTTTTAGTATCATAACACAGAAAATGTTCTTTTCAATATACTTTCATATTTCACATTAAATGGAAAGTATTTTCTTAGTTGACTCTCTGCTTCAGACTTCAGTAAACATATATAACACATTCAATTCTAACATCTTTTTTAAGCATCCAACAGGGTATAACATTTGGATTATTTTAACAATAACTGACAATGAAAAGAGTCTTCTTCTCATATTCATCAGTAAACATCTTTCTGATCACTGACCCACAAATATGGGTCATTGAATTTAATGAGCACATAATGACCATATTGCACTACACAGAAATTCACAAAACCAAGTGAGCATAAAAAAGAAGAAACAATGAAAGTTAACATAAAAAAATATCCATATTATGTATTATGAGAATGTCATAGAAAAAATGTGGCCCTGCATGGCATAGCACTGAATATCTTGTGACCTTTGAGCAATGGTCAAATTACCCTCAGAAAAACTCTGATAATAACAGACCTTATGAGAGACTTGTTAGTGTTCCCAGATTATTTACATGAAAAATCAATAGTCACACTTAGTTCTCCAAGCTGATAAACAAGTTGATTAACCTGCTTGTGCCTTCTGGTAGTAATTAACAGATAGAAAAGGCATCTGAAGACAGTATTTCCCTCTTTTCTCTTATGAAAAAAGACTAAGAATGCTATTGGCACATTGAAAGCCAACCAAGCACCACAGATGATAAATATATATTTTTTGTCACTGGATTTACCATCTTTGGAACACTTAAATTAAACAAAAATTGTTTCATGAGAATGCTAAACAGAGAATGAGAAAGCAAGAAGGGGAGAAGGGAGAGGAAGGAAAGGAAAAAAATTAAAGAGGGTGAAGAGAGAAAGAAAAAAGAGAATAGAGAGGAGTGACAGTCAGCATAGAGGCAAGTCAGAGTGAATTTGTTTTGATATCCCTTTGCTGTCATAATCACAACTTGAATGCTGTGCCTAGCTTGATATCTTTTCACAGTTAACACTGCATCCAAAACCTTTTTAGTAAGAGCAGCAAAATGAAAAACTATTCACTCCAGATAGTAATGAAAATTGTACTTCACTTCTCCCCCAGTGAACTTTTAGAGATAAAAATGAGAAGAAAAAGGAAAAAAACTTTTATACTACAAGCACACTAATTGCCTTATGCTTACTAATGAATGCTTTATTTCTCATTTGATTAGTCAATATTTTGTATAAAACCTTTAAACTAATAAACTCTATCACTGACATTGTATGTCTTAAAAGGCCCCTGACTAATAACCATGGTCTTTTCTCTTATTTTCCTTTGTTTGAAAGACTTTAACATCATGAGAGCTTCTGGGGTGTCCTACAAATTGTTTGCTAATGTTCAATTCTAAGCATGGACCAAGAGGGGGAGGGGGGAAATCATAACAACAATAACATGTCTATAATTTTTTTCCGGTCTCACTGGGTGAAGAGGCCAAAGAGTTTTCTGCTTAATTTTCTTCACATGTCTCCCTTCTTATATGCAATGCAACCTCACTGCTTCCTTTGCACCTGAAATATTCTTTATGTAAGGTAGTCTTGAACTCCATTACTGACTTGGAAGAGCATTGGCTGGGAACATCTTCATTCCGATGAAATCTTTCAATATCTGTAACAAGTTGAAGTCAAGATAAATTTGTAAATCTTTCTTTTATTGTGAATTTGAAAAATATAACAATGTGTATGCAAATCATACTTTTGATTTCCTGTGGGAATTTTAAAAAGGCTTAACAATTTTAAACACAAAACACCCAAACACAAAAGTGAAGACAGTATTCCAAAATTAAAGGTAAAATAACTGCCTAAAATTAAATATAACAATAAATAGAAATATGGTGTGTCTGCCAGAATTTCTAGGGTAATTTACACAGGCAAATCAACTACTCATTTCCTTTAAAATGTTTTAAGTAGTTATGCCTTTAGTAAATCAGCTGTTTTTTCATCTATATTTGTTTAGCATTGTAAGACATGAGACAATGTAATAATCATATAATGTAGCCTTGTATTAGTAAGAATGGAAGAACTAAACCTGTATTTATCCAAGTACAGCTGGATTCTTCTTCAGTCAGTAAAATCAGTAAAATATGAAAAGTATTTCTGAACTTGTACTTGAGGACTCTCAACAAGGTATCTTACAAGATTGTTATATCAGTTATCAATGAAGGAACCAGGATAATTCTCTTTTACATCAAAAATTTCTCAAGGATTATATTTTCACAATTATAAAAGGACTACACTTTAAATTATTTTTTTGCCCTTTAAAAATTTTCATTCCCATCAATCTCTTCACACTGAAAGTGAAAGCTTACCTCCATGAGATTGTCGTGACTAGGCTTCGGCACGGAAAATGTGAATCCCTCCTTACGTAGCTTTGAACCATCGAGGTGCAGGTGGTTAGGATGAACCGAGTTCTGGTCAATGTAAGGGGTGAGGGGAGTGTTGTCTAGACCACCAGCTGAGCAAATGGCAGCCCAAGGAACCAGGTGCTTCTCATTGATTTCACTGACAAGCCCCACTGCATCTGTCTGGAATGGGAAGAGGAAGTTTCGGAATTCAGGCGTGCACATTTCAAAAAATCTGTCTTCTTGATGAATAAAACCACAATAAAATGTTTAATCTTTTTTTTTCTTCCTTCTTGCTATCTAGACAATGGAACATATCTGGAAAGCCATTTCAACAAAAATCTGAGACTGATAATGGAGCTGCAAAATATTACCAAGGCTACCGTACCCTAAAAAACAATAACATTTA